TGTATTATGCATGACCTTGACTTATCGTGACCAGGCACAGCATTACATAATCACCTGTCTATCAGGGATTATCGACTAGGGAGGAGCCTTTTAAAAAAAAATGTGGAGGCTCTAGGCCTCACCCAAATCATTGGAGATCAGAATTCAGGAGAGTGGGGCCAGATTCTTCCAGTCCACAGGAGGCCCCCTCCCCCACCAGGCAACTCCCACCACGACCCACGACTCAGGGCAGCCTCCAGCAGTCCCTTCAAGCCCTGGTTGCACATACCGCTTCTGAGAACTCAGTTAAAATGCAGGTTCTGACTCCACAGCTCCACAACGAGATCTGGGGTTCAGCACTGATGCCGCTGTCTGGTGAAGCAATTTCGAGTCGCTCGTCCACAGAACTCCTTGCAAGTATGTAGAGCTAAGTTCTAAATCTGCAGCATTCAACACGGTGGCCACCAACCCATGAGGCCACCAGGCATTTGAAACAGACTGGCATTTCTAAGGAGCTGACTGCATCCCATCCTTGGCCATCAGCGCAGGATGTATGTGGCCCACGGTGGAAGGCATCTACAAACTCTCGATCTAAGTAGCCTTCTACAGACTGCCTGGATATGAAAATCCCCCGAAGGCCTGTTTGGTCACCAGCTCAAGAGTGGATAAATATTTACCTAAGGTAGGAGCACAGATATGGAAGACTGGATTAAACCAACTTGGAACCTCTTGCGACACACCTCCATTCAAGGTCCTCTCCACCCACAGCCCCAACCACATGTAAGTAGAGTCCCAGCCTTGGTCTCTTTCATCAGTTACCATAGATGTTCACACAGACATGCCCTCATGTCACCTGAGTGCATTCATCTGCCTGGAGGGCCAGTCTCTCCCCACTGGACCACCAGTTCTTTCAAAGAGAAGGGATTTCTGATTCCACAACAGCAGGATTCCACAGACCCCCAGATGACCAGCAGCAAGAGCTGGAACCCACAGGAGTGCATCATGGTAGTTCTAATCATAGAAGAGAAACTGAATTCAGCTGGCGGGAAAAAAAACAAAACAAAACAGTTCCATCCTAACCAATCCAAAATGTTCCAGACACATCAATCCAGACTTCAGGGAAGCATGAAGTTGGCCTATCCCCTTCCAGAGAATATAAACACGCTGGGAAAGAGGTGGCGGCCTTCTGACCATAGATCCAAGATCTGTTAAGTCCGGTATTCTGTAGGAGCTGGTTTACAAACAAGTCACAAAGGACTACAACTCTGAATCAAAAGCAAAGCCTGTTCCCACTGGAACTGCTGGGCGGAGCCTGGCCCAGGAACAGCAGTTCCCCCGGGAGTCTGTACAGTCCAGATGTTCATTCTCCCCTCGCAGTCAGAACAGCAAAGCGATTTCCAAGGTAACCAAGGACAACAGAATAAGAGAATCATGGCCCCGGAAGGAAGAAGATTAAATTTTAATACTTAAGAGTCAATATCAAATTTATTTTTAAAACTACATCAATGCCAAATAAGCAAGGCAGAATGGATGGAGCTATGAAGAAGTGTCAGCTACAGCATGACCATCCCAAGAATGCACACAATTTTTCTCTACTTCAAGAGTATTCTGAGGTAAACCAGGGGCTTGAAGAAACTAAGAAATGGAAATAAAGCTGGAGGTGGGCAGCTCAGTTTTCCAATTTATGCCACAACTACTTGTTTCCTCCTTTATTTCCAAAAGCGCAGAGCTGACGCCAGTTGCAGCCCCACGCTTTGCGAAGTTTGCTAAAACTGCACAAGATAATTACTTCACCGAGAGAAAGTCATCACAAAGTGAAAAGTTTCAAACCAGCCACACTCTCACCTGCTACCAAGACGATAAACTTGTCAAGGGAATGCACAGGACTGGGGAAAAAGCTTAGAGAGTACAGTGCTTGCTACACAAGCTTGTGAACCTGCGTGCGGATCCCCAAGACTGAGCTATGCAGCTCCCTGCCCCCCAGAGGGGGAGCAGAGACAGGTGGTGGAGAACTGATTCAGGAAAACACCACAACATCAACCTATGGCCTCCATCAGCACACCACTAAGTGCACCTGCAAATATCTGCACGCACGCACGCACACAGAAAGGAGGTACAACAGTTCAACGTTCATACAACAGTTCATCCATTTCCTCCTCCCTTGCTCCATTCTCATTCCAGGGTCTGTATATTAACTACAGTGAAATCTGGTAAAGCAGCTAGCATTCAATAAATCAGCTGTCTGTTGGGTACTGTGCCACAACCTTCAGAAACTAACATGATTATCTAGACTGTGAACTGGACTGAAATGGAAAAAAGGGTGGGGGCAGGGTCTCATCCCAAGTCATACAACTGAAAAGTGAGGGAGCCTGAGTTGTAGGTGGCTGACCTGGCAAAGGGGCCATTTAGAGAATGCACCATTACTGAGCGTTAAAGCCGTGTAGTTTATGAAAGCAGCACAGGGCCAAGTTCAAACTCCACTAACTGGGTCTATAAACCTGAACTAATCTGCTAGCCTCAAGTTCCTCACCTATAAATCAGGGACAGAGATTGAACACAACATATATGACAGCTGTGGAACAGGCCCGGCACTAGCTAACAACTGATGTTCTAGCTGCAGGTATTCAAGCCAAGAAAGCCTATTTCAGTGAGAACGTGACTGTGGCCAGACATACCCTCCACTGGAAACGAGCACGGTTGCCAGGGTCAATCAGCTTTAAATCACCTTACTAATTACGTAATTCATTTAAGCAGGGGACCAGGGACATATTTTCAAGTCATATTTCTGTGACATGAGTAACTCCATCCATGTCACGGTAACCCCTCGCACATCTCATCTCAGCACGAAAAGATGTTTGCTTAAAATCCCAGTATTAAGAGCATCGTTTGTTATTACATTAGACATAGAACAATTTTTTTTTGTGCTGGAAGTGAACACTCAGTAATCTAGCAGGGAAAAGAAAGCATTCCATGCTGAGTCCTTTCAACTTTCAAAGTCGTTCCAACTCTAAGTTCACACACACAATATCCTAGAGTGGATACTGGGTTTACTTAAAATAAGATAAGCCTGCAATGATTTTAATTTTCCCCTGTTTGCAACTTGAACCCATTCTCTGCTTCGGAGGCCGAGGGAAACAAGCCTGCAATTTAACAAATTGACCAAAGCCAGTCTCTCTTTAATCTGCTCAGTAACTGAGCTCTTGGATAATCTCCTGCACTGCATGCAAAAGCAGCTTTGGGTTCATCCACTGTAAACTAAAATTAATCAGAGGGAGGGTATGCCATCTTTAATTTCAACTCCTATTTGCCTGGTTTCCCAACATCAGCCAGTGTTAAGAACATTTAACTGACACAATACAGAGAGGAAAGCATAATAACTTTATAAACACAAGCTTTCTTTTAAGTACATCACACACAAAAAGCCCCCTCCCCACCCTTTTCGATGCAATCATTTCCATAAGCATTAATGATGTATTTTCAAAACACTGACTATTTTCCTAGAGCTTTTCAACTGGTACTTATGGGGGAGGGGCTTCCCATGTGTCAATCCCCCCACCTGCCTCATCTGAAGGTGTGTGTGTGTGTGAGCCATGCTGACAAAAGTAGAATGAAGCAATCCGTACATCAGTGAACTCCACCACAAAAGGGTCACAGGCAGATCTTCTGGAAGAGGGGTGAGAGAAAAGAGAGGAGGCCGAAGGGGAAGAGAGGTACCCTAGCTATACTTCCAACAGCAGCATGCTGAATCAAGCATTTTCCATTGAGTCTAGTCTTGACTGTGTATGTCTACAAAGAAAAACATTTTACACTGAAGAAAAACAGTCTAGTTTTTTTTTTTTTTTCTTTCAAGCAATTCTTAATAGCAGACGCTTTGTTCAGGCAAGGGGAAAAGAATTTAACAGCATTGCTTAAATTTAAAGCTCTCTGAAGACCAACCCACCTACCCACCCCCAACCGCTGGCACAAGTATTTCAAAATATCTACCCCAATCTTAAGATTGTGGCCAAAGGAAATGTACTCAATCGGTTCACTACTGCTACACGTGTGTCTTGTACTCCGGTTACCTATTGTGAGCCCAACTGGACGCACAAAGCCTAGGGAGCGAAAAGATGCCACTGTAAACTCTGTCTGGGAGAGGAAAAAAAAAAAAAGATGAGGGAAGTGAAGCTATCTCAAGCCGCAGCCAGTCGGGGTCCCTTCCATGCCTGCTTTAATTTTCAACCCAACCTGCTCGCTCTTGCAGTCCCTCTTCCCCGGGATCTGGAGAGCTCGCTGCTTAGCCGTTCAATACCATGACTCTGCACCTTGAAAGCCCTTACTAAAATCAGGCCTTTTCCAGGTTAAGGTCAAGGAAGATAACCATTCTGCCAACAGGCACTACACAGGTGGCCCAGGAGCGGCTACCCGGGGCCTTTCGGACCCCAAAGCGCCGGCTCTCCACATCCTCGGCAGCGCTGCTCTGCGGCACGCAGTGGGAGCTGCCAGGCCTCCCGGGCTGGGGTGGGCACCCCTGCCTGAGCAGCTTCGGGGGTCCCCCTGGACCTGCTCCGCTGTTGGCTCAGGGCGCACAGCTGCCCCCGCCGGGCCACTTCTGGAACAAGTTGGAGAGGTCCGCGCCGGGGGACCCATCACCAAGGGGCCCGCAGAGCTCGCAGGGGTCCCCGGCTCGCAGCCGCCACGGACTCCGCGGCCGAAGTTGACCTCGGGGAAGATGGGAGCAAAGGACCTGGAACCCAACGAGGGAAATGAGAGCAGACAGGGGGGTTCCCCCAAAAAGGCCCAAGGTGGCCAAGCAGCCTCTCCCCAGAGCCACCTCTCAGGGAACAAAGGGCTTCTGTGTCGGGCACTGCTGGCCCGGCCGCGTCCGGCTCTGGAGGACCAGAAACTTTTCCCGGGTATGGGCGCGGGCGCCGGGCACCGGGCATCAGGCACCAGGCGCGGAAGCCTGGCGGGTCCCCAGGGCGCAGCGCGATCCCCGCCGCCCTAGCCTTCCGCCCCGCGCCGCCGAGGCTGCCGCTCACCTCCTCGATGGCCGCCACGGTGTTCCGGCACTGGGCCGTGCGCGTGGTGAAGCTGGAGGCCGTGGGAGCCTTGTAGTCCTCATGGGTCTCGGCCACGAATTCCGACACGGAGATCTGGTCCGGCATCGCCGCGGCGCCCGGGCGCGGACCGCCGCCGCCTCAGTCGCCCAGGGCGCGGGCTCCGACCCCGCCGCCGCCGCCGCTCCGGGCCGCGGACAAAGGGGAGCGCGGGGCGCGGGAGCCGCCGCAGGGCGCGGGAGCCACCGCGGGATGCGCGGCGGGAGCAGGGGCGCGCGCAGCCCGCAGCTCTGCCCGCTGTGCTCCGGGAGCCGCCGCCGCGTCTTCTCCGAGCGAGCCCAGACGCGGGCGCGCACAGCCGGCGGGAACTGCCCGCCACCCAGCCGCGGGCCCCGACGCCTCCTGCGGAGAGGGGCGGGTCCCGGCCGAGGGGGCGGTGGCCGGCGGGGCGAGGGGCGGGGCGGGGCGCAGGCCCGGCCGCCAATCGGTGCGCTCGCCGCCACCTCGCCGCGGGGAAGCGGAGGCCGCAGGAAGGAGGGCCGTGCGCGCTCGGGGCCCTCCAGCCGCTGCGGGCCGCCGCATTGTGTCTGCCTTCAGGGGCGTACAGGGGGTTCGAGGGCGACCCCTCACCGGGGCTGCGGTGCCCGGGCCCCTCCGCGCCAGCCCGGAGCGTTGGCGCACATTTCCCAGTGGGGGTGAATTGGAACCGAGGGCACCGGCTTCGCGGCCAGGCAGAACACCTTCCTTCTGCTCCCCAATCCCACCCTTGGGGAAGAACATCCCCCCCCGAATTCCCCACCAGAACCTCAGAGAAGGACCAAGAGAGAAGACAGTGTGGGTAGCTCGCCCCCTACAGGATGGTGAAATCCACCGGGGCACCCCTTCTGCCCCTAGCGGGACTAGTGAGGGGACAGTTTGGGATGGAGTGTTAGGGCCAATGTTCTCTCTGTTCGCCTCCTCAGAACTTTAAGAAGCAGGTAAATACGGGTATTTTGCTTAGAGAGTTGGCCGGAAATCACATGGTATAAGGATAAATGGGAATTCAAACCCATGTCCTTCGACTTGGAACAATACAAAAACCGCCAGTTGAGCATCATGTTCCTTTAGCTTGTACAATTAGGGCTACTCCAAGTTACCTGTAAACAGTTTTAGGGTACTAGGCCAGGCTTCACCCTGAGAAGACCACAGAACCCACTGCAATCAATGACATTACTCTCGGAATTGGGGGGAGGGGGTACCCGAGAGAACCAGAGGTAGAGACTTAGAAGAGGGGGCTGTTGTTCCTCATGGTTCTCAGACAAAGTATTTCAAACCCTAGCTGGCTGATCGCAGACGAGACTGGACCAATAAAGCACCTGAATTAGGACACATGTTTTGTTTATAGCCCGTAAGGAAATTCTCAGCTGCATTTAAAAATCCAGAGGTTCTGAAGACATGAGTCAAAAATCACACCCTATAACTCCCCCAGGCATGCGCACGGTTGACTGCTGCTGCCAACAATACAGCCTAGAGAAACTGTACAAAAACCTTTTGTGTGTCTCAAATCTAGGGAGGGGGAGAGACATTGGAAACCCAACAGGGGAGACAAAAGCGGGCCCCTGCTGCTGTAGGACAGTAGACACAGCAGACCAGCCAATCTTTTTAAAGCGCCCATGTACAAATTTGCCCTATGAGGTGGCAGCTGGGGTCAGACGTTATGCATGGCCTCTGGTATTTTACTAGCACTGTGTGTGAATAAGTTCAGCTTTCAAAAATAGCTGTGCCAGTGGGCAGCTTTTCTCTTCCTGCGCTAGGCGATAAATTGCAGTTCCCAAACCCCGTGCATATCTCTCCAGCACTTTCTACCTTTGTGAATTTCCATCCGTTAGTGCCTCAGGGACACACCTGTGGCAGCTTGTATACTTCAAGAACATTGTGTTAAAGTACACGGTTTCCCACACAGGGCAGTTTTCTGTTCTCTCCACCTCCTTGGCTGCCTGTAAGTCCTTTCGTTCTTCTCTGAAGTTGAAGACTATTCCCTGAAACTTTTCAAGGTTTTATTTTTGGAGACCTGGTCTCTATGATGCCTTGGAAGTTAAAAGAAAGTAGTGTTTTTCCTTTTTCATTTGATATACTACCAGTCAAACTAATCAATGTATCTATGAAACACGCATGCTCATGAACACACACACACACAAATATAATTTAAAATTTAAGTGTTGAACATGAGTCTGCAAAACACTACACACTCCATTGTGTGTGGAGGATTGAATCCAAGGCCTTGAACCTACTAGACAAGTACTTCACGAATAAACTACTTCCCCAGCCCTCATTTACATATGTGTTTGTTTGTTTGTCTTGCTTTTTTCAAAACAGGGTTTTATGTAGCCTTGGGCTGTCCTGCACTCACTAACGATGTGTGCCACCATGCCAGGTTCATCTGCATATTTTTAATGCATCAAGGGAAGATGGTGCTGATATCAGCATTACAGGCCTGGACATCACTAAGTTTATAAAAAATCCCTGAAAAAAAAAAGTTTTCAAAAATAATTCTTGCCAGGTGTGGTGGTACATGCCTGTAATCCCAGCACTCTGGGAGGCAGAGGCAAGTGGAACTCTGTGAGTTTGAGGCCAACCTGGTCTACAAAGAGAGTCCAGGACAGCCAACGTTACACAGAGAAACCCTGTCTTGAAAAGCAAATAAAATATAACAATAATAATAATAATAATAATTTTATTATAATACTACATATTATTGTTGTTGTTATTATTATTATTGCTGTTCCTGATGGCACAGGCCTTTAATCCCAGCACTGCAGAGTCAGAGGCAGGTGGATCTGTGAGTTCCAGGCCATCTTGGTCTACAAACTAAGTTCCAGGACAACCAGAATGTATTGAATTTTATTTTACCTCAGGTGTGTTGATCTGTGTTTGTTGCTCTAACATACCTAAGACTGGACACTTTATGAGGAAGAGGAGGTTGGCTAGGACATCACCCAGTGGTAGAGAGCTTGAGGCCTGTAGACTCATCTCTAGCACTGGAAGAAAATAAGAACAGCAAGGGAAGGGGAGAACAAAGGAAGGGGAAGAGAAACGGAGGAGAACGAGGAAGGAAAGAGCTATTTAGCTGATGGCTCTGGAGGCTGTCCTGGTTAGTTTTGTCAACTTGACACAAACCTAGATATACCTGGAAAGAAGGAATCTCAAGTAAGAAACCGAGATGTGTGCACATCTGTAGCGCATTTTCTTAACTGTCCATTGATGTAGGAGGGCCCAGGCCCCTGTGGGCGGTGCCATCCCTAGACAGATGAGCCTGGGTTGTGTAAGAAAGGGACTGAGTAAACCAAGGAAGACAAGCCAATAAGCAGGATTCCTCTGCTTACTGCTTACGGTCTCTGCTTCAGTTCCTGCCTCCGGGTCCCTGCCTTGGCTTTCCTGAATGATGTTCTATAACCTGTAACCCAGATAAATCCTTTCCTTCCTCAAGTTGGTTCTGATCGGAGTTTTATCACAATCAACAGAAAGCAAACTAGAACAGAACGGGAAGCCTATAATCTAAGGTCACGCAGCCCCATCAGTGTGGCAGGTGGTAGCTTCGTGTTGAAGTTATGCTGCCCGTAAGACTGAGCACAGACTGGGAGCCAGAGAGACAGACCTCAAACTCTCTGTTTTAGAATTCTCTTTAATGAGAACTAATGTAGGTCCCAATAAAACCACCTTCATTGCTTCGAAGGATAGTATCTTCAGTGCCCTAACTACCCCCCATTAGGCCCCACCTCAATCCCACCCCTGCACCAAGGCCAAGGCTCCAACACTTGAACCATTAGAGGACAATAGAGAACAGAGAACAACAGAGGAGAGATGAGGGATTTGTTGGCATTGAACTCGGGATAAGCAAGAAATGTACATAAATTCACATCAGTTCACTTCAGATCAATTTTGCCACTGAGAGATATTTTCTTAAACTAGATCTTTGCTGGTGGCCACATCTTTAATCCCAGCATTCAGGGAGGCAGAGGCAGGTGGCTCACTAAGTTCGAGGCCAGCCAGGTTACAAAGCAAGTTCAGGACAGCCAAAGCTACACAGAGAAACCCTGTCTCAGAAAACAAACAAACAAACTGGATGAAGGCATGTAAGACTCTGATGACATCATCAGCTCCTCTTGATCCTCTTGACAATGCTTCTGTGAGGTAATGGGAGTTAGCAGTTAGGGCCTTGTTAGAGGAAGAGTTATTAGATCCCTGCAAGCCTGTTCTCCAGGAGGATCCTGGGAGTCTGGCTTCCATCCTCTCTGATTCCCCTCTGTCATGAAGTGAGCAGCTTCCCTCTGATGCCTTGCCTCACCTACAGGCCCCAAAGCAGCAGCGCCAAGTAACAGGACTGAAACCTCTGATTCCTTGAGCCTTCATCCTTTAATTGATTCATCTCAGGAAGCCAAAAGGAAGAAGAGAAAATCCCATGCCTGGCAGCCCACTAAGACTGGCTAACAGTCCATGTTCTGGAAGGATGCTCTACCTCTAGGAATTCACAAGAACCTGAGATTTATTTTTTTCACTGTCCGACCAAAGAAAAAAGTAATGTTCTTAACTCTGAATTTTTCAGGAGGCTTGTCTGCTTTAACAGACCTTTCCAGTTCACTTGCAGTTAGCTTGTAAATGATTGCTTTTGGAAAGAACAAATCTGTGCCTTGAAGGAGCTATGTGGTAAACAACGCAATAAAACAGAAACACCCCAAAGCACGGGTGATGGGAACAGGGAAACATCCCTGGGAGTTTCTCCTATGCCTCATAAAGCACTCTCCCCAAAATAATGCAGGGAAAGGGACCCGGGTGCCCCCAAGCTGACAGGGAGTGCCATGTACCTGTCACTTATCTCACTATTTACACATTGGGGTCGCAGGCAGGGAAGGGGTTGGCAGCACACAATTATAATACAAATGAAAAGTTAGATCTTGCTGTCAACTTTTTGCTGAGTTAAATTAGCTTTCTCGAGCTTCCGTTAATTCACACATAAAAGACTACCAGAAGTTTATACTAGATTTATTTCAAAACAATATCTGCCGGGCACAGTGGCGCTTGCATGTGATCTCAGCTCTCGGGAAGGCAGAGGCAGGCAGATCTCTGTGAGTTCGAGGCCAGGCAGTCTACAAAGTGAATCCAGGACAGCCAAGGCTACACAGAGAAACTCTGTCTTGCAAAAACAAACAAAAAAACAAAAACAACGTTGGCTTATTTTTATTTCTTTTTTACCTGTGCGTGAATGTGTGTGCACCACGTGTGTGCCTAGTGCCCTCAGAGACCAGAGAGGGTGTCAGAGCCGCTGGAGCTGGGGTTACAGATAGTTGTAAGCCACCATGTGTTGGGAACTGAACCCATTCCTCTGGAAGAGCAAAA